ATTTATCTATTATAGTTCTTATTTTAGAGGGGGGTAAGAGATGCTAAAAAGTGTGCGTTGAGTGGGGTCTGTGCGTTGAGTGGGGAAATACAGTAAGCCTCAACGATGCCGAGAACAGTCAGCGCCAAATGTGCTGCTAGCTACGTCACACCGTGGTCCATGTGCTCCTGTACATCAAGTCGCACGGCGAAGGTGCGCCTTCATCTCAGCAGCATGGCGAAGAAGTCTTCACGATATTTATATTTACGAAAGACGAATACTTGACGGTATTGCTATAAGGATCGGAGTCAAGACAATTTACGTGAACATAGTCCGAGGCTCCCGGCTCGGGCCAAATTAAGGACTGCATTGCGTCGAAGGTGCGGAGCAGGGCAGTTACCAGCTCCTATTCTAGGGGTTGTTAGGATTAACCACCCCCTAGTTACCGAACGACGTTACGAATTAGCATTTCACCAAAACACATTCTGGCCTTTCTTCCCTTTTTAAAAGTACTTATTAAGTTTTACTAGGGGCGTGAATTGTAAGTACGATACGATCACGGTCGCTATTCTACTTCGAAATATAAGTAGCCTGTCCTCATATTGTCCCAGGACGAACCTAAAGCAACTGGTTTACACACTCAGCCTGCTTCAACATCTAATACTTAGGACGTTACATTAGACTCTAACCATGACCTCATGCGCTCTCCTCAATCTTCCAGACGAAATCCTTCTAGAAGTGGCGAAGAGTGTTGGGGGCATTTCCTACGATCGTCAGAATACACTTCGCAACCTGACCCTTACATGCCGTCGACTACAGCCCATAGCCACTGAAGCGATACTCGAACACCCCGTCGTCAACATCTCCGCGATCCACGACCTGGTCCGAGTTTACTTCGCCAACCGCATCATCGCCCAGAAGACGAAGTCGCTCGAAGTGTTTTCATTCCGATTAATTCGACACGTTCCCGAATTTAGCACGGAGCTGAAAGAGTCGTGCCATGCGCTCATTCGAGAGTACGATGTGAGCCCCGGTTATAAACTCCTATGGCTGCAGGACCTCGCATCAAACGACAAGACGGCGTACATGGCTGTTCTAATCGCTCTGCTCCCGGGACTCGAGGACTTGCGATTCGGTCCAAACGTATTACGAGACTTGGCCATTCTCAGCAAGCTCTTCTGCGACCGGACTGTATTGACTCCTGGATGTAGTCCGCCTTGCTGGGGTAAAGGCTATGCCGATGCAGTGTTTACACGCCTGGTTCCAATGATCAAGTCGCTTGAGCTGCCAGTGGAAGGGTACTCAATGTTAAACACGGCAAGCTCGCATAGTCCTCACCCGAGTCCCTTCGAGCCTTTCGCCTCTCTTCTTCGGCTTGCAATCCCTTCGTGTGCGCTAGCGGACCTCGGCTTCGACAACTTGCCACGCACATTGAGGAATCTCATTGTCGTAGGAGCAAAACGAGTGACCCACGTCGCGATTATGAACGACCTGTATTGCTACAAGGAACGACTGCCAAATCTCCGGGAAGTTCGAATCTTCGAAATCAAACGTCGCCCCGTTGGTCTAGAAATCCCGGAACTGGAACACGTGCGTGTTTGCCTGATCCCCCACATTGCGTTCAGTGTCTGGCGTCCGGCCGGCGATAACTTCGAGGCGGCCGATGCGAATGGCCAACCATGGAACTACACGGATGATGAGCTGGCGGAGTTTGAAACGCTGAAGTCGCAGCGTCGGATTAAAAAGATTGAGCGGCAATGGGCGATGGCCCTCGGGCAAGGAAACGACTGAAGGCGGCGATTCGCAAGTAAATTTGTTTGGCGTTGATGGAAGAGACATGGTAGACTCGACACACTCATTATTATGATAGCATTTACGGATGAGCTCATACGTGAGCTACGGCGAGCGGTCACGCCAGCACATCAACTCGGCCTGCTTAGGTACAAATGCTTGCTCTATATTGCTTCGTACTACATACCCACTTCACATCTTGCTAATCCACTCCAGAGCGACTGTAGGCTCCAATCTCTTCCTATAATCCGGCTCAAGATAAACATTCTTAACCACGCCGTCCTCGCCCACTAAAAACGTCGCCGGAATAGGCACTTCCAGCGAGTCATCCCCATTCTGCTTCTTCAAATCATGACCGAACTTCTCGAACACCGGCCTCATACTATCCGGTTGCTTCCACACAATACCAAGCTCCCGTGCCAACTTGTTGCCCAAGTCCGAAAGCACTGTGAATTCGAGCTCGTTCTTCTCCTGCGTGGATAGCGACGAGTCGGGCAGTTCGGGCGAGACTGCGACAAGCTCGACGCCTCGGGCGTGGAACTCGTCCAGGTGTTGTTGCAGGGCGCGGAGGGCGATGTTGCAGAATGGACACCAGTTGCCACGGTAGAATGTGATGAGTACGGGCCCCTTGGCGAGAAGGTTGATGCTCGAGACTTGGCCACCAGTAGCACTGGGCAGCGTGAAGGAAGGGAATTTGGCGCCGACTTGGATCACGTTGGTAGGATTGGCGAATTTGGCTTCTGCTTCGGAGCGGGCACTGTCGATAATCTCCACGACTGGACCAACGGCTTTGGTCGCGAAGTTGGTGTAAACGTCTTCGAGTTGTTTGGCTAGAGTGGCCATTGTGCTGGAGGTGGGAACAGATCGAAGGAGCTCGATACAATGTTAAGATGTGTTCTTTGGAAGGTAATGTCCATGATACGGTTTCCAAGCTCCTTATATATACAGCCGTACGCAAATGGGACAACTGTCATAGCCAGTCATGTGACATTTCACTTAGGTTGGACTCCCGAACTCGAGCGAATTGTATTGCTAATGCTGCGAACAGGCATCGCACGAAATAGAAGGAAGCGTAACTGGGTGGAAAGGTTCGCTGAAGAGTTATTGGTCAGTGTCTTTCATCGAGCCGATTTCGGGCGAATTCGTCCGAGCTAGGCCGAACTCATCCGGGTCTAGCCGAACACAGCTGTGTATTCTGGCGTCTCGCACCTTCCTCCAGACCTTCAACCGCACTCCTTCTCGCATCAATCGCTCGAGATCTGAGTTTTGCTTGCTTCAGTCCGACTGCTTCGTCCGCATTGCGCTACGCATTTCCCGCACTGATTACTAATTGCGCCCCATGCCTCATTCCGCTTCCGCTTCCTTCACTGCAAATGGCCCACCAGTCAAACGCATGCGTCTGGGAACCAAGAGCTGCGCAGAATGCCGTCGCCGCAAAGTTCGATGTGTCTTCTCTCCAAGATCCAGCATCTGCGAGGGCTGTTCTCTCCATAACGTCACCTGCAGGCCGCAGGTGGGAGTTCGGTCCAATCAGCCAACTGCTACAGCTCTACCAGATTCTGACAACAATTGGGTGGAGAGTGAGGCACTTCACCGACGCCTGACCCACCTAGAGAGTACGATAAGCCGGGTGTTGAATCCGCAACGCCATAAAGATCAAACATCGCTAAACTGGTCACTCTCGACTGTGCCCTCCTCGGTCGACACTCCTGAAGAGTCCCTAGACCCTGAAAGTGGTACTGAAGATGACACTTCGCCATTGTTGGCTGTTTGGAGGGACGCAATGGCTATTGATCCCATCCAAAGCCCTCTGAATACAGCTAGCGCGAGACTGTTTAAGCCTCCGGTACTCTCCTCACATCCCCCTTTACCTGATTTTAGAGGCCTCGACATTCTATTCAAATATACGGAGCCATTTTGGACTACTTGGCCGGCATGCACGTTCGGCATAATCGAACCGAAGCAGCTCGCCCCCGGCCAACTGCGGTACAACAGCGAAATCATATATGAAGCTGTGGACTCGGGAGATACTCTTCTCACTTCTAAGGCATTCTTGTGGCTTATTCTTTGCCTCACCCAGTTTCCACGTCGTCACACCCAAGAGCTACATCTACCGAAGCCGCGCCGGAAGCTTATTGAGCAATATCACGCGTACGTTAGGAGCACCTTCGACACAGCCCTTGACTCAGGTGACAGCATCTGTGGACTGGAATGCTATAATCTGCAGTGGAAAATCTTCTTCGATACCGGAAAACCGCGAAAAGCATGGCAAATACTCCGGAACGGAATCACCTCGGCCATTCAACTCGGGCTCCATCGCACAGATTCTCACCGGGACGAACGCAAGAAAGACTTATGGATGTCGTTCTGGCAGACTGAACGACAGATCTCTTGTATGCTGGGTCTGCCGTCCTGCACGTCAAACGAACACCCAGGGACGGGGTTGAAAGATCTGTCAAGCAACGATCCGATAGAGATAGCGCACCATAGGCTCAGTATCATATCGGGCGATATCATCAAGCGGGACCAGACTTCGCTCAAAGAGAACTACGCGGTGACAACTCAGATCGATCAGGACCTTGAAGACGCGCTGTCCATCCTTCCTCCTGAGGTTTGGAGCCTACCGCAAGCTGGCCAGTCTTTCGCGGTCATATACCACCAACTCTCTACTAGAATGCGGTTTTGGACAGCGCAAAAGCTGTTGCACATGCCATATATGCTCAGGTCCATGAAGGAATCCAGATACCAGTACAGCTACACCAAGGCAATCGACGCATCCAGGAACATGATCAGCACGCTTTACGGGTTTCGCCAAGTTTGCAGCGATTTTCTGTGCGAAGTGGTGGATTTTCAAGCTTTTAGCGCGGCGGTCGTGATACTTCTCGGAGTGCTTGCTCAGCGGGGAGCGACTGCGAACGAGAGCGAGCAGGACTGGAAGCTCATCGAGAAGGCCTCGAAATGTCTGCGGCAGACTGCCACAGCGTTGGAATGTAGTGTGGCTCGGCAGGGAGCAGATGCACTCGACACCCTTATGGCGGCGTGTAGGGGGACACCCCCACAAGAGCCTTTCGTCGTTACGATTCCATATTTCGGTCGAGTGCGGTTGAAGTGAGAGAGCCCCAGAAACTTTAGAGGTGGACCCTGCTAACGCACTAAGCAGCCTGGACGGGGCCCAAATGCGCTCGGTCTCGCCGATGAGAAACGATCCGCCATCGTCGCCCGCTCAACGCAACTTAGTTCCGGTCCATTCGCAGACGGCGCCATGCGCGAGCGTCGGATTTTACTGCAACGAGTTCGGCCACACGTCCCCGATGGACTTCGACTTCTCGTTCGGCGAAGAGCTGGCCTCGGACTGGTTTCAAGCCGACGGGTATGGCGGCATGGATTTCGGCTGGACACGGGAATTCCTATGCGATTTCTGACCTGGTCGGTGGCGACGGCGGGATGAAATGTCGCGAACAGCAGGCGGGCATCACGTGAGCCCTGCGGGGTTATGTTTCGGCGTCATCGAGTAAGCTGACCTCAGACCCACCCACGTCAGTTCCCCCAAGACATTTTTCTCTTAGACTGCCCCAGGGTTACATCCCACGGGGCTCCAAAAGCGCCACAAGATTGGCATGCGCGGCTTAACGCCTGCTAACCGTTACCCCGGGATCAGCGGCGAATGAGAGCGCGAGTGCCGAGTCCCCGAAATTGGCGCGGGACGCCTGGCTGTTGGTGGCCCCGCGATTGCATAGGCTTGCATACATCCAAGCCCAATCTAGTATGCCGAGCGTTCATCTGTGCCTGCGGGATATTCCGCATTGAGCTACCGCGTTTGCTCCACACATACCTGGCACAAGCGTCCTGTTTAGGAGCTGATGAGCAGTTCCCACATATACCTGCTCTCGCCCGTGCTTGTTCGGCCAATTCCCTTTTCTCACTGTCGATAGCTTAGGGTCAACTGTACTTTGAGCCATCGGATCATCCGCAAAACACCATGGCTGAAAAGGACGACGTTGCCTATGCTTCTCACGATGAGAATGAGAAGATCGCACAGGCTCCGAAGCCAGAAGAGCCCGAGATGGCTGACATGAGTGGCCGTCGGCAGTCGGTCGCTCTCAACATCGTCGAGAATCCACTCCAGGTGAGCTTCTTAACCTCCAAGCGTTCGCCAATCTTCTTGTGGCGGCCATATCAAGCTTTGAGGCTGACGCGCTTCGCTTTTACAGCGCAGCTCCCCGCAACAGACCGTGGCCGATGCCCAAGCTTTCGCCGAGTCGCATGGCATGCCCGAGCACGCCAGTCTGTTCGGCCGCGCCGCCCTCGTCGCGCGGGACCCCGAGCGATTCGAGATGCTCAGCGAGATCGATGACCAAGAGCGCCACGCGCTTGCATACGAGAGGGACCATAAGTGGCACGGCCCGTTCATGCTCTGGTACTCGATCTCGCTGTGTGCCGTCGGAGCCGCCACGCAAGGATGGGATCAGACGGGATCCAACGGCGCCAACTTGTCCTTCCCTCAGGATTTTGGCATTGATGGTGAAGGGAGAGATGAATGGATCGTGGGAATCGTCAATGCCATCATCTTCTTGACTGCCGGTCTCATAGGTGCCTTCATTGTCGATCCACTCAACCACTACTTTGGCCGGAGAGGCGAGATTTTCATCACTGCTTGCTGTCTTACTGCCACGCCAATTGGTTCCGCCTTCGCACAGTCCTGGCAAGGACTTTTCGCGGCACGATTTGTTATGGGCATCGGCATCGGTGCAAAGAATGCCACAGTCCCTATCTATTCGGCCGAGATGGCTCCGCATCGAATTCGAGGTGCCCTCGTCATGTTTTGGCAGCTCTGGGTTGTGGCCGGTGAGTTGCACCCAATCGCTCGTCTCTAGACATTGCTAATGGTCGCCTGTAGGTATCTTCCTGGGCTTCTGCGCCAACGTCATTGTCAAAGACACCGGTGATATCTCCTGGCGTCTCCAACTCGGCTCAGCGTTCATTCCATCCTTCATCCTTGGCATCGGTATCTTCTTTTGCCCCGAGTCGCCTCGTTGGCTTATGAAGCACGGCAAGATTGCGCAAGGATTCCGATCCATGAACCGCCTGCGGGCTCACCCCATCATCGCTGCAAGGGACTTCTACTACTCGTACGTTATCTACGAGGAGGAAATCAAGGTGGCCCGTGGCGCGGGCTACTTCTCCCGTCTGTGGGACTGTTTCGCCGTGCCTAGGATCCGGCGAGCCAACTACGGTGCCTCGACTGTCATGATTGCTCAGCAGATGTGCGGTATTAACAGTGAGTTGTCCTCGTCTTGTGCAAGTGGCCGGCGCTGATGCCTTGCAGTCATCTCTTTTTACAGCTCAACTATCTTCGAAAATGTCGGCTACACACCGACCCAGGCATTGTACGCATCTCTTGGCTACGGTGCCATCCAAGTCGTAGCCACGATCCCTACCCTGTTCCTCATCGACACCAAGGGCCGAAGAACCCTGACTTTGCTTGTGAGCCTTTCCAACCTTTCGAGCTTTGTATAGAAACATCACTGACCACTCCCTCCGTGAAGACCTTCCCCGGAATGTGCATCTTCCTGCTAGCCGCCGGCCTCTCCCTTCTGAACCATTCCGGTAGCCGTGGCGAACAAATTGGACCAGTCGTTTTGTAAGTTTGCGTCATAGATGTTTGCAATTCTGAGTTTGACTAACTGCGTTCTTCAACTAGATTCGTCTACCTCTTTACCATCTGCTACAGCTTGGGTGAAGGCCCAGTCGCCTTCCAGTACTCCGCCGAAGTGTTCCCCACCATCCAGCGAGAGCAAGGAATGGCTTGGGCCGTCTGCATCAACAACACTTTCGGTGAGCGTCCCGAACCCCGAATGAGCCGACGTCCCACTGACAAAGTCTTGTCCAGCCGGCATCCTCAGCTTGACATTCCCTCGAATGCAGACCGTCATGACTCCCACTGGTGCCTGTAAGCGTACTCTGCTGTATTCTCCCGTACCAGTGATTTGCTGACAAACTGGATTTAGTCGGTTTCTATGCCGGACTTAACCTGGTTGCGTGGTTTATGATCTTCTGCTTTGTCAGAGAGACCAAGCAACTCACATTGGAAGAGCTAGACCGTGAGCCAAACCTCGCTCTACAACTCACTTGGATCACCCGCTAATGTTTTTCTCACAGAGGTCTTCTCAGTCCCGACGAAGAGTTTCCTCAACTACGAACTCACCGTGTGGCTTCCTTGGTTCATCAAGCGCTACATTTTCCGCCGCAAGATCGAGCGCCCGCCGCCAATCATTGAGAAGGCCGAGAGGATCGGCGATATCAAGACCGCGTAAACCATTTCCTCGTGCAGCTGAGTGCGAAGGAATGGGAAAGGGAAGATTTTTGTGGTATCTTGTGCGAAAGAGGCGGGCGACTGGATGGCGGTGGACGGGCCGTAAAGCCATACCTGCCGCTATGGGATGGGCCTCCAAAATCGATATCAAACCGTTTCTGCAGGCTTTCCCTATGGATCGACTTGTTCTCCACCTTCCGGCCGAACCCGTCCGAATCTAGCATCGAACTTTCATAGACGTTATATTCTGTCACTCGTGTAAATCTACATTGGCATACTTGTAGCATCAAAGATGTGTAGAGTATCTAGACAACTTATACACTACATATACATGTTTCTACTACTTTACCGTGCGTAAAACTGTTAGTGCAACTTTGCGGTTAGGTTTTAGGTATACATCTTAGTTAGCTTACCTTAATTATTACTTAAAACATCTATCGCAATGCTACTGTGTGTAAGTTGCTACGCTAGCCCTAGAGCTATGTTAATAATGAAAAACGTTGTAATTACGTAAATTCGTAAACTTTTAGGATGGGAATTATTGTATTATTAATACTAACAAATAAGGATTATCTAGGTAAGTAGATTTCGCCGATTAGGTATAGCGCGAACGCCCTTAGTATATGAGGAGTGTATGGTACGAAGGAGCTCGTATTTTTTATGTTACTGGTCGGTGCACTAACACCGGCGACTTAAAGAGTCCGAGCGCCTTCATAGAGTAATAATCCATGGTCAAGTGTTGAAACTGAGCTCGTGTGCTGAGAGATAGTTGTACAAGTGCGTAGAGCGAAAGAGAATGAGCTACGTGGTCAAAGAAACTCGAAAATTACACTGCTTAACTGCCCGCTATATAAAGAAATCTAGAAGTTGCTTATTGTACAATGCGAATCCCTTAGCGAGAGACTCCGCTGAACAGCGCTGCACATCGATGAGCCTTGCGAAGAAAGTGGCGAGGTCATAATCGAACGACTGCTCATCCACCCATTGGCCTTCCTTCATCATCTCGCACCTCCACGTCCCCAACTCGTTGTAGCCTCCCATCACCATGCTCTCGTTGTGCCAGTCAGTCTCGTGTTGGGCATCCTCGATCAAATCTAGCCCAGCCGCTCTACGAAATTCCACAAGTCGCGTGTGCATATCCACCCACGTTAGCAATGCATGCTTTAGTGTGTCGAGTCGTCCTCCCTGCTTCATGTGCGACTTCACACCGTCGTCGGTCCAGATTTCGTTGATCATTGGAGCTAGGCCGTCGACGACGTCTTGAGAGGGAGTATCGCTCCCGAGGATCAGCAGTAGCTTCGCGAGTATCTTCCTGCGCTGGAGATTTGTACCCTCGAAGCCGAGAGGAGGCGCCGCAGTAGGTGAGGCTTCCGTTGCAGAAGAGCCCGCAGAACAATCGTGTCCGGTGTTTGTGTTTGTGTTCGTGGCCGGTTGTTGGCCGTTCGTTGTAGACGCTTCGGTACTGAGCCCAATGGGCTCTTCCGGTGTACGTACGACCGCGGTTGTGTTGGCTGTGGGACTATCCGTTGGAGAGGGCGATACGGTGGGCAATGTAGGCGAGTTTGGTAGACCTTGGTCTTGCCTCGCGGCTTTCGTTGCTTGTGCGGACTCTTCGGAGCGGGATTCGTTCTCGCGGTGTCTCTTCTGTCGGCCATCATCTTCGCAATGATTGTCTCCCCCCGATGGGATGGATTGGTCGGGTTCAATACGGTGGGCATTGTTGGCGAGAAGGTGTGTCGGACCAGTGGTTTGATGGGTGGTGGACGGGTGGCCATCTCGCCCAGGCGGTGGCGGAATAAACTTGATCGAGCAACCCGAGATGGAAAGTATTCCATTTGTTACTCTAGCAGTGGTTCGTGTCGCACGCAAAGCAATAGGCACATGCTCCTGGTTGATCGTGCCCGATGTTGGGCCTTGAGCTCGAGCCGCAGTCGCGACCGAAGGGAAGTGAGCGTCCACGTAGGAAAGGAGGTCACCTAGGATGGTGCCGTCCGGCACGGATTCACCCTCCGTTGTGTTGCTCGGTCCGGCTCTTCTATATGCACGTCGCGCGATCCAACCTCGGAGTAAAAACTTGATCCTAGAAGCGCGACAAATTAGCTTTGGCTTGACAACCCGGAGCGCTGCTTGAAACTCACCTAATTCGATCCCCAGGGGAGTCCGCGTGCAACTCGTGCGGATACAACGTGTCGGGCGCCGCACTAATCAGATGGTCTCTTATCTCTCCCCAGACCTTGTCGCCATGGACATGGAATAACAATTCGGCTTCCCGGTCCAAGAACCCCTCACTGCTGAGCGATGCTTTCACCAGCCGTTGGCTCATACAGCTAGCAATCGAGGCCACGACCACCTGAGTAGAGTCGTATAGGCTGCTCACAATGGTAGAGTGGCGGAAAGACGGCCGCGGAGCTCCAGGCACGCTGTAGTTCTTGAGGCCAAGTGACTCTATGAAGTCATTTGCGGGCCTTTTTTCAAGATTCTCAAGGGTGGCTTGAGTTGCGATGTACCCCTTTGGTGTCATGGTTACGGCTCTGGGCGGGGAGGGAACGAGGAGATTAGGATTGAGGGTAACGGGTTCAAAGAATGCCTTCTGAAGTTGACTGGTATAGTTTAGGTGCTGTGTACCTAGATAGTCAAGTAAATAGAAGAAGCACACAACTGTTATGTGGTAAGCACACCAACACGATGAAGACCCCGTAACGGGAAGCTCCGCGTTGCCGCTTCGAACGCCTGAAGTATCCACTGGCCGGGATATGACTCGCCCACCCGCAATGCATGAGCTGATGTTGCTCTGGATACGAGTGCTTTCGTCTCCGAGGATGAGATGCGACACGCCCATAGTACAGCCAAGATATGCCGTGTTAGCTAGTGATTTCCCGACTCTATCTGCTGCCGATAGAGCTACATTATCGTATGACCATTAGGCGGCAAGATATGCATTATCAGCGCACAGTGCATCTGGAGGCTTGATATTGGCACGAAGTCCACCAATTGTGAAAGCATTATGGAAGTCTGTCACAAGGGCCTTCCGTCGCTCTTCTTTTGTTGAGGTGCTTTTCTTCCTGCCTGATGCCGCGATATGCACCGTGCTAAGACCAAAAACAGAGCCCAAGGAAATCTGCGGTGTGATGTCCCCCAATCATGCATATTGGGGGGCGTGCATTCGAGAAGCCGTCTGCGAATATGATTCGGCGCACATGCAGATCCCCAGAACACTATGAGGGCCTGGAGGCTCGGGTCGGTACCAGGCAGATCGAATCGTGATGAGAATTATGGGACGATGATAATCTGAGAGTTAAGCATTGCAATGCCGAAGACGAGAAAACTCGATTAATCAATCACCGAAGACAGCGCGTGAATTGGACAAGAGATTCTTCTCCGGAGTTACTCTTGACCAACTTTCGGTGTAATGCTCGGACATTCAGTTCTCGTAATATCGGGGCAGCTGCAGTCACAGCAAAAACAAAAGATGTCGGCTATACGCGTTTGGTGTGTGTCGACCTGGGGCCAAAACGCAGCGTCCGATCGGTGAAAACTACTGGCACGGGCGCAGCCATGGACGCTTGTTACGTCCTCCGGGGCTCTCGGCCCGCCTGCGGGACGCGCCACAAAGTGGGGGAGAAATATAGCGGAAACGCCATTCGCACCTGCGCCGCTGTGAACTGAGCGCCAAATTACGGTTTTACCTGTATCAAATTTGCCTAAGCGTGGATGAGAGCAAGATTTACGTACGTTAAGTGCGAAGATTTTCTAAGGGGTTCGGCCAATGTTACACCAAAATTAATTGATTTTTCTCGTTGAGTCACCAACCCTTCCATGTCTGTACAACCCACGCTTTTTGGCACGTACTGAGCTCAGACCGCTTATGTCGTCCCTCTGTTTGAAGAGATTATCAGACTCTACATTGAGTGGCCCTCGAAGCTCTGGAAACGCCCGATCTAACTCTGTTCGGGGCTCGGCGCGCGAACCTACATCCTGACTCTAGACTGATTCATTGGTTTTCCATGTTTCGAGCCGTCGAAGCCCGGTATGGTGTTGTCGGGTTCCCTGCCAGTGCCCATTCGCTGGGAGCAACGGCCGTGTGCAGGCCTTACCTGTGCGCATCCCGCTCTTGCAACTCCTTTCTGCGGCTTCGCCTTTACTTGAGTTGGATGATATGCAAATTTCACATATTCCCGCTTCCCTTGCATTCAACATTCTCCCGCTCCTCAACGCACCCGTTTTTATCTTCAGGTAGTTATCAACCCTTCTATCCATTTAGAGATCATACTATTCCCTCGGACACCGTCCCGCAAGTCATCGCTGTCGAAACGCCTCTCTCAGCAGCAGTCCGAGATGGCACTTCCATCATTGCATCCAGACGAAATCATGAAGCAGTATAATACTCATCGAGAGCTCAACGCCCTCTTCCGCAATCTCGGACTGGCAAACCAAACAAAAGGCAATGGACGAGGCACTGCTACCTTTTCCGGCCGCGATGAGAAGCGGCTGAACAGAGATATCACCAGTGCATCAAGGGAAGTCTCTCGAGACGCCGAAGGAGGAGCTCCTCAATGGCTTGGCGATCCGAATGTCTTGAGACAGTCCAGGAAACTTGCCATGATATATGGCCCAAAGATTTGGTGGCCTTCCTCTAGGCATCTGTCATGGGAGAACGAGGCCCACCGAAAAGTGTGAGTGAAAACTGCTTGCTTTTCACATAACGCCTCAGAGACGTGCTAAGTTAGCGAAGAATCCTCCTTAATATCCACTGTTTGCTTGTTCGACGAGCATTCAGGCATCGCCCTCTGGCCCTTCGGCAGAGCGTGGAAGACGACTTCGATGACACGCTCCAACGCGAGGACGAAAACACGAGAAGGCGGTCCTCCAGGCTAGCCGAGAAGGCCACGAATGGGTACAGCAGCCCCGCGCCCCAAAACCTTGACGACTCCGGTGACGTGGACAATCTATATCGATATGCTCCTCTACGAGGACAAATCGCTCCCTGTTCCGGGACTTCCCAAGCGGGGGATCATGGTCCAGATGGCTCTTCTCGGGTCCGCGACTCGGGCTCACGGGGGTCAACGCAAACTGCTGCGCCGCATGGCCCTTCGACGTGCGCCTCCGGCGGTAATAGCGATCAACGGTCTGGATCCGCTTATACATCCTACACCTCAGCACTCCATAAAGAGTCGAAGCCTCGGGTAGGCGACGAGGGAATTGACAGAGTGCCCTCATTTTCGCTCTTCGATTGGGCACGAGAGACTGCGGAACAAAGGGACAGTCCGATGGCAGAAGGGGAGCGCAATTTCCCGGCAGTCAGTTCCCCCTCCCAGAGGGATGCCGTTGGCGGCGCCGCTCCAGATGAATACGACAGTGGTTTCATAGCCTCACCGGGCCTTACACGCTGTGGCGAACGTGAACAGGACACGGGGATGTTACCTCCTTCAACGCTTCGAAACGCCAATCTTCCTATGCAGACCCGGGCGACTATCAGATCGTGGACACCGTTCGTCAGTACTAGCGAAATGCCTAATATGCCGCCACCATCAATGCCCGGAAGACATACTGCATCTTCGTCCGTGTGGCCTGCGCGCACCGTTGCGCGCATTCCCTTGCTACACCAACACCATGCCCTGAGAGCATCCGACAGCGACACGCGCAATCTCGAGACCAGGCGGAGCCCCAGCAATGACTCCGTTATAGGAACTCTTGACCTGGATCCAGCCCCCAGCACTGCGAACGTCAATAGCATCCGGGATCCAAAAAGACAAGCCGAGCACGTGAGGATGCTGAGGTCAGAATTGAGGATGTTGGTCTTTTCTCCTGTCCATGTTGTTTCAGAAAGACACCGCGAGCGGTTGCATCATTTGCTTCAAGCCTTCTGGGAAGAAGACCAACAGAAGCTGTCCGACCGCCTTGGGGTTTCGTTTCCGTTGGTGGCAACTTCGTTCAACGAGTGGATGTCCGTCATCGAGGCGCTCACCAGCATCAAAAGGTTCCACCCAGGACCGATCGACTCTCTAAACGATGCTTGCGAAGGCCTTCCTGCCACGCAGCGCCGAACGGCGCTTGAGGCTTTGAGCAAGCTTGAATACTACGTCAACAAACTGAAGCTGGGCCGCGTTTATGCTGATAGAGTCGCAGAAGTAGTCTATCAACTCTGCGATGATAAACGTGAGTGGACTCGAGAGGAGGTTCTCGATTATGTTCAGAATCAGAATATGGAGATTGCGGCAGAGTTTGCGTAGGTGGGCTTGTGTTGGATTTCATGTCGGGACAACGTGCCTGCGACAGCGCTAACGGCCCGTGGCGTACCCAGGTATTCGCTCCTCTGGGGTTTCGTTTCGTAGGTAATGTGCGGCATGAGAGCTATCCCGGTATCGCAACTGCAGTAGTAATAAAGAATAAACCACAGTGCGAGCCAAGTGTCAGAGCGTATTTCAAGCAGACGTTGTCTGCCTCGTGGGTTAAGATAGCACAGAATCTGTACTGGGGTGCCTTCCCAACAAGTCAACAAATTCGGGGGCTCGTATCACAATCTGATGGAACGTAAATTGCGGCGGGTATATCGCTCAAAAAGCCAAGTCCTGATGTCGTGCACTGGCACCTCAGTCATATTCAATTAGTTGTCCATGGTTGTTCCTGTCGTGCCGCGGTCGTGTCGCGATCAGGGGAGGCGCAGCACTTTAGGATGATCTCGGCTACGCTTCAATGGGCTTGCAGTACAACCTCAGGATAATATTACTCCTAATTGTTTCTATACTATAAATTCAACCAAGCGCGTGACCATAGGACTAGAATTAAAGACGCAATTTTTTCCCCACGACAAAAGGAAGCGGCGTTGTTCGTGTCGGATTCGAGCCAATACCGAGTTGACTACGCGCTAACCAGGAGCGAGCGGGTCAAGGCTGTGGCAGCATCATCTCCTGCAAGAATGTCACCACCGCAAGGATAAAAAGTTCGCGTCCCTTCCGCAGCTCAGAGCATCGGAAAGCGTTACTATTCGCTCCTACATTGATGTGCCGCCAGAGGCACAGCTACAACGCCACCTACATCGGGACGGATTGGCCCCCGGCGCTTAGCTGTCATATGACTTCCACGGCCTCGCTTTGTAGGGAACTTTCAAGCGAGACTGTGCACAGCAGGGTCATCTATTAGCCAATAGTTTTCGCAGTTGCAGGAGCCTGAGGATGCAAGGCTTCACAGCAGGATTCAAAGCCATTTTTCGCTGTTTGGCGCACGATTGACGCGCCAATCACCAACAATTGCCTCCAGGCAGCAATGTTTTTGCATAGGGCATTGCTGAACATGGTGTGCTCGCCCCACTCCAATGCCCCTACATTGCCGCAGCCGGCGAATGGCACCCCTTGCAATCGCATGAAGTCGGCTAGCGTTATCGTTCATCAGCCACCGCAATTCATGCGCATTCGTTTTAAAACCCTTCAGCCACACGGCAAAGCCGCTACTCGCCAATTCACTTCCATCATTCGGCACTGCTGTTGTAGCTTAACTTGACTATTTCTCCTAAATATTTTTGCTATCTCAATACCTCGTGGCTCTCATTTTCGCTCTCATCGTCAGACTCACATCATGGCTCCCCTCGATGCAGAGGGCGTTATGTTTATTCGAGATTGCATTAGCAACGAGAAGACTACCGGCCAGATCACCGAGTTACTCGGCCTAGCTAAGCGCAACCGCAAGCCTGGCCAGCCTACGTTCCCAGATCAGCCGGATGTGCAGAACCTGTATCGAGAGATTAGAGACACGGTCGACGATTTCGTCGTCAAAACCAAAGGGAAAACGCGACCCCAGTTAGTCGCCGTGTTGACCGAAGAACATATTTTCGCCGAGCCGATCGCTGCCATTAGCGCGCGGTTCGGAGACAAGATATGGGGTGTTTCAAAGAGGAGCCATCTCCTCACACCCGAGGAGAACTCTTCTTACTCTAGGCCGCTTTTTTGGAACTCTGAGGAGGACCGCAAGAGGTAAGTCAGTTCAATCCTGCGGCAAACACCAGCTCACCAAATTGTTGGCAGGATTCAATTCCTCATTCGCTGCTGGATCGTGAAGACAGCATCTAGACGCATTGGGGTCGAGAACCGAAAGTCGAAGGAGGCACAGAAGATACCGCAATCTCCGTTAGCTGACAAGGGAAGGAACATACACAAGAAGACAGTCGAAGTGTCAGATGGGGAGATATCCGAGACGGAAGGTCGAGCTGGACCGAGCAAGCCTGCGACACCGGTTGCGGGGAGGCAGGCGCTGGGAGGTTCATTTCAAGCGCCTAGGGCTCGTATGTACCCTACGCCAACACCACAACCCCAAGCGAACACTGCTGAAGAGCAAGGTCCCATCTTGCCACGAGCAGACCCGTCGCATGTTGCTACTACTCATGATGAGTTGTATGCAGACCCCCCACCGAAGTCTAAAAGCCCACCGAGTGCGAGCAAGCGGAAGAGCTTCGACGGCGCCAGCGAATCGAATCGCGGAAAGCTCCCGAAAGTAAAAAACCATTGGAGAGGGACTATTCCTGAGATGTTGAAAAATCGACAGGAAGATGCGTACTCGGTGCCCCAGTCGCCGCCACCTGCTTCCGATCCCTCTCTACATCCCTTCCCTAAGTTCGGGCGTAGAAAGCAAAGAGAAAGCACACAGGACAGCGATCCTACATACGTCCCGTCGAGAGAAGGAAGCATAGAGTCAGAGGCAGAACCTGACCCGGACTCAAGCATGACGGAAGCCCCTGGTAAGTGTTACACTTTAAGCTTCACGTGCGCCTCCGCTCATACTATGACAGATCTTTCACAGCGCAATGCAGAAGAGCAAGGGCATCCGCTCACATTCGGTCACCACATTCTCTCTACTAGTACACACCGCGATTCCACCTACGGCCCCGTACAACGTGACTCTGTCATTCCGGATACCCCAGACATCGGCACACCCATGCCTATGCCTATTGACTTGACGGACGATGAGCCTCCCCCAAGAGACAGCACTACTGTAGAGCCCCCACCAGTTGCTCGTACCCCCTTAACGAGCACCACAATGGCTCCACCATCGAACCCTTCTCTACGGAAGGAGAAGGAGCTACGCAGGGAACTCTTCAAGCTCCTCCTCTCGCGTCTAAACAACATCAGCCCATTCGAGCCGGGATCAAAGGATCACGAGGCTGAAGGACGACTGAACCAGCTGCTTCTTCACTTCTGGCTTAACGATAAGGCGACTATCCAACGCAAACTAGGCGACCGCTTCGATCGGCTGTACGCAGCTTTCGATAGCTGGATGGATATGCGCAGGCGACTTTATGCGTTCCAGACATCGACTGGATATTTCGGTGACCCCGGCGAGGAGTGGAGGTTGCATCTAAGGGGCTTGGGCTTAGGTTCAAAAGAGAGGGCAGAAGCTGTTATTGCGCTAGTGGACTTGGTTGACTCTGAGAAGAACGGAAGGCAATACGTCGGAGAAACATTCAACGATGCCCTCGCTACGCTTTTCGACCAATTGACGCTGTTCCCGGCTTGTAATGGTGCGGAGGAGTTCAAGGGAGTGGAGAGGTATAACGAGACTTTGCTTCAATGGTTTACCCAACTATAGAGAGGAGGGCGTTCTTTCGGGCGGGCTCCCGGGAGATCAATAATGATATGTTCCTCTCACATTAATGTGTCGGAAATCTCATGAACAGCCTTGCCGATGATCGAAACATGCGTGTTGCATCCCCAACGAACTCGTCCTCCTAAATCAAATGCCCTACCTAGTTCTTCATCGGCTCCGCATCACACCGAAAGAGACGCGCACCAGTAGTTCGCCGTGCATGAGGCCTGCTGCAAGCCATCCCTCGCCGTAAACGCCGTCTCCCCATCCTTGAAGCAAACAAAGTCCTCAGTGCCCAGTTTCGCCTGCCCTGCCATCGCGCTCTTCTCCAGCCCCGCCGCGTCAGCGTTGATGTTTGACGAAAAGGCGCTGGTGCGCAAGTTGGCCACTCGCAACGTTCCTTCCCACGACTGCGCTGGATCACTGACGGTGGCAATCTCGGTCGGGTTTCCGTTGCTCTGGCCGTTGGCGTAGTATGCGACGGCTGTATAGATATCCACTGCGGCGGGTTCGGCCTTTGGGCATAGAATGATGAGCGGGCAGCTTGGGATGGGAGGCGCTGTGGAGCGACGGGTGCACGTTGAGAGGTAAAGGTTGTGCTTGGAGCCCATTTGGACGGCGTCGATCGGTGCCGCAAATGTTGCGCCGCCGCATAGGGCGGTTGCAAGGCCGAGGATTGACGAGTAGCGCATGATGCCTTACGGAGGGATCGTAAAGGGTAGTGGATGGTTTAGGTTGGATGCTCCTTCACCAGGCTCTTGGACAGGCAACGTGGGGGAACCAGTATTTCAATCCCGTCGCCGGAGGAGGACTCCCGAGAAAGAATGCGAGATGACGCCATGTTCATAGATGCGAAATTGGAGAAGCGTTGTTTCGGGATTCCCGTTCTTCAGTCTCCGGTTCGGTTGTAGCCGGCTCGGCGGGATTAATATATACAATTCTGGGTATCTGGTGAGCTTGGGCGTCCGCGCGTCAATCCCTGCCTCATATAGTGCTCCATCTCTTTACAAAAGATTAGTTCCGTTTTCCCATTCGGCTTGGATGGTGTTGATCGCACCGCGTGGGCTGACGGCTTTCGTGCGCGATCCTGCTTTGTTCTCAACAAATTATTAAGTCGTCGGCATTTGTCTTCGCAAGGCCAGTTGGTGTAGAAAGAGAATGGTGGGAGTCGCGAACGCCGTGGTTCTAAACCTCTGTGCGGATCGTCTCGGTCCTCGATCAGTTCCTCCGGGCAAAGCCGTCACATGGTACAAAACGAGCCCTTGTGCTTTCTGGCGAGCACTGGACCACTTATTTGTGAGATTCAACTCGGCCCGGCGCATCAATATGCGCAGAGTACTGTAGAATTTTAGAAGAGACTCAGGAGTTACTGGCACCTGTCACGATACACTCGCACTTGTCGAACTGATTGTCCGCCTACGAAAACCACTTGTACAGAGGCAAAGCTGGAAATGTTAGCAGGTAGCCTTCAGGGGGACGCTCGACTCACGCAGTAGTAGCAGCAAACACTTCTACAAGTCTCGCTTTGGTGAACAGCGCTAGAGCCAATAAGAATGCAGCCGAGAATCCGACAATGGCGGCGAGTCTGGTGAGTGGGCTCTTAATAAGGTACAGGCCGAGCACGCCGATGGGCATTACATTCACGGCGCGCGCAATGCGCTTGAAGCCAGCCTTGCCATAGTGAGCGATATTTGTGCCTTCCTGACCCTTCATTAGTTTCTGAGCCAAGTTAGCCGAGTGATCTTCGTATGTCGGACTGGCTGGCTGGCTGGCTGTATCATTGATTGACCTAGCTCCGAGAGCTATGCGATATTCTACAATTTTTCTGCAGGGCAGATGAAGAAAAACCACGCGAAGTGATGAGAAATCTCCCTCTTTTTGCCTTTGTCCAGCCCTCAATCGATTTGCGGTCGTGGTTCCGTACATTACTCAGCCTTGCAAGCTTAGCTTGTTCTTGGAGGGCTTGGTCTACCACAGTTCAGCGGACAGTGCGGCGAAGCGGGAGGACTACCTCTTACTGTACGCCCTGAGCATGCCCCGTACCTCGAGCACCTTTCGCCACCGCGCACTATCCAGCGATTGCTCCATGTACCGCACTGTCTTTTTTTTTTTTGCGATGGTACACCGGCCGCGATCGCCGTTGTCGATATAGACTAGCACCTTTAGCTCCTGTTCGAGGTTCACCAGCTTGGCATGTATATAAAGCAGATTCGGCGTGTGAAGTCTCGAGAATGTCTCGAAGACCCCACTCCTTCATGTTAGAGCGGTCCGACGTAGCCCACCAGGCCCCGTTATCCATCTTGAACATTAAATTCGTCGTTCAGCCACATATAAATTAAGGCCAGTCGGTCTAAGCAGGAAGTTAGGTAATTGGCGAGAAGGGCACTAAGTTCTCAACGCTATGCCTCCGTGGGGAAGGCTAATAGTCACATGTCGATTTCTACTCAGCCTGGTGCCGTCTGCATTTGGTTCTCGTCCGTCCTGACCGGCGATCTCGGCCCGACGTGGCACTATGCTACTAGAGCAAGATTCCTGCAGGTAAGCAGAGCTGAAAATATTGGCGCTTGCTGCACCAATCACGCGTCGCTGCTGCGTGTCTAGAAGTCCCCCCGTAGCTGACCGGTGAGCACGCCGCAACGCCAAGGCTACAGCGATCAGGCTGCGCAGACGACGCATCTTGTACGCGTTCAGCCTCAGGAAATGAAGACTCCTCTACCTCACTTGCCTTCTATCCGAAACCTACCTTGCACTCAGTACAATAATTGTTGAAGGATGGCGTCGAGTCCCGGGCGGCGTAGTTGTGCCGACTACCACGTCGCGTGGATATGCTCTGTGGCCGACGTCGAGCTGGTGCCTGCGCGGTTGATGCTGGACGACGAGCACCCTACTCCGCCGTATAACACGCATTACGACGAGAACACGTACATCTGCGGCACGATTGCGGGCCATGCTATCGTTGTTGCCACCTGTCCGCACGGAGAGACAGGCAACGTTAACGCTGGCCGTTTGACGGGGCCCATGTTTAAGACGTTCCCTAACATTAGGATGGCCGTCGTTGTTGGCATTGGAGGCGGCATCCCTCGCGCAACCGCCTCGGATGATCCACTCACCGACATCCACCTCGGCGACGTGGTCGTGGGGTGGCCCGGCGACGGCAAGCCCGCCTGTGTCTACCACGATCGGGGCAGGTCGAAGGTCAATGGGCAGTTTGAGATGGTCGGTACGATGCAGAACCCGGACTGGCGGCTCACGAACGTGCTCGGCGTCCTCGCATCAGACCAGGAGTTGGGTCGAAATACCTTTGCTGATCATCTTGCGCGATTGCAGAGCCATGAGAAATTTGCCCACCCTGGAACTAAGCACGACAGGCTCTTTAAGGCCACATATCGCCACGTCGGAGGATACGGATCGAACTGCGCGGCATGCGATCAAAACGAGCTCGTTCAGCGACCCCAGCGAACCAAAGGCGACAAGCATAAGCTAGTCTTTCACCAAGGGAGAATCGCCACTGGCAATTCAGTCATCCGGGATGGCGAGTTGAGAGATCAGATTGGCGCGAGGTGTGACGGAGCGCTATGTGTCGAAATGGAAGCTGCTGGCGTTGACGTCTACAGACGATGTCTGGTCATCCGCGGCATCTCCGATTACGCAGATTCGCACAAGGATGACATGTGGAGGTCTTACGCAGCTGGAAACGCGGCCGCATTTACCAGGGCGTTCCTCTGCAGGACACAACCAGATGTGGTCAAGGACATGAAATGGGTATCTGAAGGTTAGTGACAGGTTTGCTTTGCAATGGGCTGGGTTGTTTGCAGAGCTTAGCAAATACATCAATGGCACTCAGGCTGACTTATTTAGAATCAACCTTACTAGACTTCGACAGTCCTCAAGGCCGGGATGTATCCACCGATGTGCGCTTCAGATTACCGCGAAGACGAGGCCCTACCACGGACCTACTACCTGGACTTTTATCGACCTGGATGGCATCATTTAGCCTGCCTGGTTATCACGAGATGTTCAAAAAGATCCTCGATGACAGGCTCGCCTCTACCTGCGAATGGATACTTAGTTGCGACGCAATTTCGTGGTGGCGCACCAGAAGACAGCCGTCTCTTCTCTGGATAACCGGCAGCCCTGGCGTAGGCAAGTCGACTGCTCTGGCCCACTTGGTGAACGAACCCTCAAGCTCTCGATCCGCGCCCGAATGGGGGCGCAGAAGTGCTATGGTTCATAGCTTCTGCGTTGATGGACTGAACAGCACCGCGAGCAGCGTGCTATCCGTCGCAATCCACCAACTGCTTGTCCAGTTTCCGGAGGCAAAAAATAACACCTGCATATTCGATCGCGACCTTTACATGGTGGCAAAAGCTGGGGGGCATCAATGGATACCAAAACCAGGGAAATCACGCCCTTACTTACACCTCTGGAACATATTCTGTAAGCTTGCGGAAGAAGCCGAGATCGATACGCTGTTCCTCGTTATTGATGCCCTGGATGAATGCGATCTACAATCTCAACAAGGCTTGTTTCGACTTTTTCGACCAGCCGTGGGCCAAAGTCCCTGCATCATTGTCCTGTTTTCAAGCCGGCCGCACTCGGAGCTTCAGGAAATGTACTCGCGATACTCCGTGCAAGAACCACAAGCATTTCGCCATGAGAAGATGGAGCTCCTGGAGGACCATATCAACGACGATATAGGACTCTATATTCGCACAGAGGTTGCTAGAATTGCGGAGTCGATGTACTACTCTAACGGAGAACAAGAGCAGATTCGCGCAAAATTATTGCGCGAGCGCTCTGGGATGTTCCTCCCAGTGGTGCTACTACTCCGAGAGATCGGACACACCAGACGCCGCCCTTTAGAGCAGATTCTCAAGCAAATCCCGACCAATTTAAGAGCATTGTATGGGAGGCTGTTCGAGAATCTCTCAAATAACCTGCCGCCCGGAAAGCAGCGAATGCTGAAGTATCTGGCGTACTTAGTCGGAGATATAACTCCTCGCGATATAGCGTATACGTGCTACACCTTAGAAGTTTATTAATTAACCCGTGTCGCTTTAGCTAAGAGCTTAAGCCAAGATTATCTAAATAAAACGAAAAGACACCTCTAATCTATAAGTACGATGTTACAATTTCGAGGAGACGTAGCACTTGTGTCTTTTATTTACATTACTACGAAACATTACGTTGCGACGCTATCTAAAACTCGAGCTACTATAAATAATCTTTAAAAGCCTTAGAAGGCTTATACTAATATTACTATTATCTACTTAGCGCTTATAGATATAGCTATAAAGGCTAATATAAGATTTCTAACTAGATATCTAAATATAAACAAAAGAAACTAATAGTTTCTTACTATTAAGAGTATACTCTTTCTTAAGTACACCTTATAAAATTAGTACGTCTATTTAAAGTAGGCTATTAATAGAATATCTAAGACTTAAGAATTAAATAGCGTACTATAGCGCTATATTTAGAACCTTATCTAACTATAGTATTAGTAGGTTAAGGTTAGGTCTAGGTAGTAGTTTAATATTATAGATATTAAATAAGTAAGGCTAAGTAAGTAGTACTATACCTAAATTAGGTTTTTTCTAATAACTCTTTAGGCTAGTAAATAGCGCTATACTTTATTAGAGTTTTTTTCTAATATTCTACTACTATTTACTACTAGTAGCTAGTAGGTATAGCTATTTTTTTCTAATATTCTACTACTACTACTACTATTACTACTATAACTACTACTACTACTACTACTATAACTATTATCTTATAACTACTATAGTAGTACGTCTTTCTTCTTCTTACTTTTTCTTTATAGCGCCTTTTCTAGTATCTATTCTATAATAAGCTCTACTTTCTAGTATTATCTATACTACGCGTAAAATATTACCTTAGTAGTAGTATAATAGTAGTATATTATTAAGATACTACTCTAAGAGTCTTACTAATCTAGCTACCTCTAGAAATATAATATAGACGCTTAAAGAAAGAAGACTAAGTTAGCGTAGAGTAAGGTAAGCGTTTAAAAAAGGTAAGCGTAATAACGTAAAGAGAAGAGAAGAGAGGTATTAGTATTAGTAGTATATAAGTAAAGCTAAAGAGTATAAACGTAGCTTCTAGACTACTTTTCTTAGAGAAAAGAACTACTTCTACTATAGGTTACTATACTCTTACTAACCTCTAAGTAGATATACTTAAATTCTAAGTAGCGCCTTTTAAGTCTAACGTTACTATACTATAAATAGCGTAGAAAGCGCGTAATAACTAAATATAGTATAGTAGATCTATTAAGATTAAGAAATAATATAGCTAAAAAGATAAGAATAAAATAAAAGTATAAAGTATTTAGTAGGTATATATATCTAGAGCTATAGATTTAGTAGATTTAGTAGAAGCTAGCTATAGTATAGATAGTAAGAGTAAAGTAGAGACTAAAAAAAAGAATAATATAAGTAGCGTTAATAAGGCGTAAGACCTAGCGTCTAATAACTCTAATAGAGTAGGTAACGTTAATATTAATTAGCTTACTAATTATCTAGAGTAGACGTAGCTACTAGATACGTTTATAAGCTATTATTATAGAGACTTACTAGAATAGTATCTCTAGAAGAGCTAATAGTTATATAAGTACTAATAGTATAGATAGCTATAGTAGTCTATACGTTAATAAATATCTACTTCTAAAAAAGCTAGAAGAGCTAGAAGAGCTAGAAGAGTCTACGTTACTCTCTACTAGATTTTTACTACTAGCTAGGTAGTCTAATAGTATTTTAGATTATAATAGGCTATATAGCTAGTATAGTAACTAGGTTAGCTCTATAGATACTTCTACTACGCTACTAGAACCTAGAGGTATACTCTAGAGGCTATCTACTTCTTTAGTAAGCTATAACCTTAAGACTAGCCTCTTTATAACTACTTTAGACTTTATTTTTACCTCTAGTAATACTTCTATCTATATCTATATCTACTCTTATACTAGTAGAGCGCTTAGTACTAGGCTTTTCTCTTCTCTAAATTTACTTTACTATAGTATTAAAGATAATACTAATAGCGCTCTATTACTAGCCTAAAAAGCTACTATATAGATAATTATCTACTACCTAGAGTATAATTATACTTATAGAGATAAAGAATAGAAGTATCTTAAGTAACTAGAAGAGTCTACGCTCTAGCATATTACTAAGCTTCTTTATAGTAGTCTAGACTAGATACTAGTACTTACTTTATATAGGTATATACTATTAAGCTTACTAAAACTAATAGAATTATATAATAGAAATACGTCTATCTATCTAAATTAGAAGACTTTACTAACTAGAGTTTACCTAGACGCTATATAGAAGCCTCTATAGCTCTTATTACTTAGCTTTAATATCTTTAAGCGTAAGTACTAAGACGCGTATAGACTCTTTAATATCTAAGAGTAGTTTAATATTAATAGTATTATCTTTTTACCTTTCTATCTATATATATTAGAGTTATTTATATTAAGTTAATATAAATACTTTCTAGCCTGTGTAGAGCAAAACTAGAGAGTTAATATAAATTATAGTAGTAGGTTAATATAAATACTTTTTGTCTATGCAGGAATATTAATATTAAGTTAATATAAATTACAGCGAAAACTAAGTCGATATAAATACTTTAAAAATCGAGTTAATATAGATTATAGCAAAAACAACATTAGTATAGGTTATAGTAGTAGGTTAACATAAGTAGGTTAATATAAATATATACGTAAAAATATAGAGTTAATATAAATTATAGTAATAGGTTAATATAAATACTTTTTAGTTTGTGCCTAAAAACTAGAGGTTAATATAGATTATAGTAGTAGGTTAATATAAATACTTTTTAGCCTATGCGCGAATATTAATATTAAGCTAATATAGATTAAACATTAAGTTAATATAAATTATAGTAGCGAGTTAATATAAATTATAGCTAAAACACGAGTTAATATAGATTATAGCTAAAACATAAGTTAATAGTTTAAATATTGTCTTACTTAGTTTACGTTTAAACCTCTAACAAGAGTTAAATATAGGCGCAGGTTTAGAGAAAGTTTAGCTGCTTACCTTAAGTTATAGCTAGCTAAACTGTTAAGCTATTCTTTAAGTATATATACTCTATATCTGTCTACTCTTAGACTCTTCTATAGCAGTAGCGCGCACACCTGCTGCGAGTAGAGCAAGACGCAGATATTCTCTTATTAAGAGTAGCTTTTTAGTACTATTTAAGTATAATAACTTATTTTAGAGCTATAAGTTAGTGCTAGACTATAGGTGTATAAAAGAAAGAGTTAATAGAGGTACACTAGCTTAAAGAAGCGTAAAGAGTAACAACGTTAGGTAATTAGAGGTAGACATATATAAGAATAGGTTGCGTTTCTACTACTATTATAAATAGCGCTTAATTCTTTTATTTATAGTTACGTTTCTGCTACTATTATAAATAGCGCTTAATTCTTTTATTTGTAGTTACGTCTCTGCTACTATTATAAATAGCGCTTAATTCTTTTATTTGTAGTCGCGTTAGGCAGACATTCTAGTAGTATCTAAGGTTTTTAGTTTATAGTAGTAGAGAGAGAAGCAGCTATAAAATTTTAGCTAGCTTGCTTTTTATCTTTGCATGTAGAAAGGAGAGAAGAGAGAGAAGTAGTCTAGGTACTACCTTAACTTCTCTTATCTTCTATAGCTAAAGTTCCTACGTAAGTATAGTTCTCTCTTAATTTAGCTTAGTGTCTACTCGCTACCTTAATAGTGTAGTAGGTAGAGTTTTATACGTTTTAGTAGTAGTTATAGAATAATAGCGTACGTAAAAGTTTTTAAGAAGGCGCTATATACTAGACTAGGTAGCTTTAGCATATTAGTAAATTCTAGCGAATTTTATAGTAACAGCTACAGACACTTATAAGGTATAGACAGATCGCCTAGAATTACTATAGTTTAACTCTCTAGCGAGACTTAAACATGCATAGAAGTATAGTTAGGTTTTAGCATTAGACTATAAGAAGGGAGGTTTAGAGTTGTAGCGTATTTAGGTTATAAGCCTAAACCTCTATCTTATAGCTAACTAGAGTAGATAGAATCTATAGGTAACTCTATACTTATAGACGCCGCTCTACTTCTTTTTCTACCTAGCTATACTAGTTAATCTAGGCTAGTTTTTGTGTAGATAAGTAGCTATTAAACTAAATCTAACTTACTTTTTGTCTCTAGGTTTACTGTTTCTCTATGTGTTTACGGTCTACTTCCTTTAGAGTTAGGCTAATTAAATAGTTAGTAAAGAAGTAGATAGCACTTTACTTTAGATATAATAGCTTCTTGTCTAGACTTCTCTTAGACTAGATAATAATTATAGAATTAGTGTCTTACTCTCTACATGTAGAGCGTAGCTTTACGTTTTAGCAGAATAATATTATAGAGAGTAAGGTAACAAAGAAGATTATTATAAGTAGAGAGGATAGGTAGCTATAAGTTTTATTAGCTTACTTTTAATATTGCAGCCTAGTGTAACGCTATAGAAGAAAGACTAGAGCATAAGGCTATATAATAATCTCTTTATAGAGCTATACCTATCTATTCTATTCTTAGCCTTTTACTTATTTTTTTTTTTAGAGTAGTCTGTAAAAGCTATAAAGCAGGTCTACTTACCTCGCACCTATATAATATAGTTCTATTAATTTTATTTTTAGGCACTAGAGAATATAGACACTGCTTTCTATATTCTAGTATTTTCTCTAATTTTAGTAGTAGAATTGTAGAGAGTAGTATTAATAAGAGTAAGTTGCTAGTTAGTATAAATTATAGCAGTAGGTTAATATAAATACTTTTTAGCCTATACGCGAAAAACATAGAGTTAATATAGATTATAGTAGTAGTTAATATAAATACTTTTTAGCCTATACGCGAACATTAATATTAAGCTAATATAGATTAAATATTAAGGTAATATAGATTATAGTAGTAGGTTAATAATACTATAAATAAGTATATTTAAGTTCTCTATAAGGCTAATATATGTTCGCATGTATAGAACGTATAGAGAGACTTTTAG